CGACGGAGGGTAAATTGGGTGGAAGTAGGTCTGGCTGTGATACATGCAGCAGGCCTCTCAGGTATAACCAGGGCCATTACCTTTGCCTGGATCCTAGACTGGAGGGGAGGTTTACAACCTCTATAGACCCATATTGAACTGATCTTGCTATAGTCTATTAGCTCCACTTGACCTAACAGTGGAATCGCCCACCTTCCCAGGCAGGGAATGAAGAGATTCTACAGAACGGAGTGTATGAGTTAACAGGGAGCCGACCATAAAGGAGACTGACGGACAGGAATCCGGGGGAGCCACCCATCCAAGGATGAGGTGGTAGACCGAAGTGTCGGGTGCACAGGCTGGTGTGCCTTATTGTGGTGTTGATGGATAGCTAGAAGGAACTACTAATTCGGCGGCGTACAAATCAGGTTCAACTTTTTTCTGACCAGACGGTTGGCAGCGGCCGGCGAGCACCAAGGTTTTCCTTTTTGCGCCTTCCGGTCCGCCCGGGTTTTAAATTGGATGGAAGTAGGTCTGTCTGTGATACATGCAGCAGGCCTCTCTGGTATAACCAGGGCCATTGCCTTTGCCTGGATCCTAGTCTGGAGGGGAGGTTTACAACCTCTATAGACCCATATTGACATGATCTTGCTATAGTCTAGTAGCTCCACTTGACCTAAAAGTGGAATCACGGCTTCTGGTTGATGGAATGATTGAAGATTCGATTCTCATTCCTTCAGCTCTAACTCTAATTCTACAAAGCAATGACGGGACTTCTTAGACTCGTGGCTGACGGATCCTTTGGAACTTGAAAAAACGCGCCACGTCCTTTCTTTCGTCTTGCATTCTTCTTTGTTGTGTCATTCATGGCTCGTTCTTTCTCTTAGTCTACTTTTGTTGCTATCTTGTGTGGTGTGGTGCCATGGTCTATTATTTCAAGACTTGCTCATCTCAGCGGACCCATCCATTTCGGTTTCCCAAGAGCGCTTTGGCCGTTGTCTTCATATTGCTGCTGCTTCCATCCACATCTTGTGCCTTGAGCTTGCAACCCAACAGGAAGAACAACAACAACAAAATGGTCCACCGAAAAACCTTCCTTCAAAGTATCTTGGTGGGGGCAGGCGCCATGCTGACGAATCCCACCCATGCGTTCTCCATGGGCAATCCAGACGCAAAAGTTGCTGCTGCAACAGCCACAGCAGCTCCCATTCCTGGCGCTGCAACGGTGGGCTACCAAGCCTTGTCGCTTCCCATGGGGGATCAGTATGGAGGTGTGACGGTGCCCGTGGCGTGCTGGTATCCCACTACTACTACTGGCAGCAGTACAGAGGAAACAACCACGACAACACCTGTTTCATCTTATCCCCATCGCATTTCCGTACGACGCATTGGACAAATGCTCGTGGGGTGGAATTTTATTCCGGAATTTGTGTCACGAGACTTTGCTCTCTCTCCCAACATGGAATGTGTCAACAACAACAACAGTAACAACAATTTACCATCCAAAGCCCCCGTCGTGGTATTTGCGCATGGCTATTTGGGCAGTCGATTCGATCTATCTCACTATGCCGAAGCATTGGCGGCCGAAGGATTCGTCTGCGTCGCACCGGAATATCCCGAATCGTTGGCGGCATCGTACGATCCCGTCGAAGGATTGGACCGGGCCGTCATTACCCAACAACTATTGAGCAAATTGCCCGTCACGGCCACTTCTTACGGCATTGTCGGACATTCCCTCGGTTGTGGAACCGCCATGCGGACGGGCGATGACACGTGGACGCGAGTCTTTATATCGGGGTACAATGGACAACAACCCGTACCGGGGAATGTCTTGATTCTCTCGTCCACCAATGACGGAGTGGTGGCTCGACGAGGTATTAACATTCCTTCCGACTACACCCTGTTGCAGGAAGAAGCTGCATCATCGGTATTACCCAACCGCGCGGCACTGGTCTTTGATCGAGCCGATGCTCCCAATCACATTTCCTTCTTGGCGGAAGGAGTCAATGATGCCATGGTCGATTTCTTGTCGCCACTCTTGCCCGTAGCACAGGCACTCTCCATCCCCGTGCTAGACTTTGATCGGTATCAAGAAAGTCGAGACTCGGTCGCCACTGCCGAGATTGTCAAGCCATTGGTGACGCAGTACATGAAGCAACACATGAAAATGATATAGATAGGATTATTATGCATTATTGTTATGATACAGCATGAAATAAGATTACGTACGAGGAAGCAAGCAAGCAAAGCAGGCGCCATGATCTTGCTAGCAACTCCATCTAGTCGTTCCACACTCATTGAATGTGGGCCCAGGTGTTCGCAACATCTTTGTTACTTGCCATCATTTTCCCCACAGTCATGTTTGTCTTGTTTGCTTGTGCCTGTGTTTCGTCTCCAGTGCTGTTTCCTAGCTAGCAAGGAACGGAAGGAGTCCAGCTTCCATCGGCAATAGCTACAGTTTCGGTTTCAGTGTCCTTCTCAGATGTCAAGTTGCTTGCTATCAGCATCCGGAGTGGAAGGAAGTGTCTTGTTCAGACAAGGATGGTGGAAGGTTGAGCTTGTTTCCTGGAAACTATTCCATGTTGTCGTCGGTGCTATTATTGGAGGAGACAGAATCTTTGGAAGCAATATTCGTGTCATTTGGAGGTGATAATGTCAGGGCCATCTCAGGTTGATCTTCACCAGTGTTGCTGCCGGGTTGTGAGGGTGAATCTACAGTACTGCTTTCAGTCAATTTTGATGCAAGGTCTAGCTTGCCCTCATTGTTGTCGCTGCCTTGGTCAGGAGAGGTGGAATCTGAAGTGTTGCTGCCAGCTACAGCTGCTGTGTTTGTCATCTGAGCTTCGCCATTGTTGGTTGTTGTGGCAGTGGTCTGCGGAGGGGTAGTGGCATCACTAGTGTTGCTGGCAGCTACAGCTGCTGTGTTGGTCATCTGATCTTGATCCTTGTTGGTTGTTGTGGTAGTGGTAGGCGGAGGAGCAGTGGCATCACCTGTGTTGCTGCCAGCTACAGATTCCGCGCAATTGGTCTGGTTCTCTTCATTGCTGGGATCTGTGATGGTTGCAATTGTATCACTGGAGTCTTGGCGGGCCAACGCCATGGAGGACGTTTCATCGATCTTGAATTCCTCATCCTTGTTACTGGCCATAGTGTTTTGGGATGAAGGTACAATACTTGAGTTGTCTGCAGCCAAGCAATTGTCATTCATCTTATTCTCCTCATCATTGCTGCTGCTGCTGCTGCTGCTGATGGAATGGGAAGGTGGAGGAGGAGAGGAGGAGTCTTCAGCGAAAGATGTACCATTCATCTTCTCCTCACATTTGCTGCTTGTGGCAGCACTCTGGAAGGGAGGGGAGATATCAGAGTTGTCTTCAGGTGCAGATGATGTGTCATTCACTATGTTCTCCTCATCCTTGCTGCCAGTGGCAGCAGATTGGGAAGGGGGAGCAGTACTAGATGTGTTGTTTTCGGTTGTGGATGGTGTGCCACTCAGTTTGTCTTCTTCAGCCATCATCTGAGGATGGAATGTGGTATCAGAGGAGTCATGTTGAGCTTCAGGTGATTCAAGGTCAACAGTTCCTTCAAAACTACTATTCATGCTGTCATGTACAGTGAGGGCATCGACATCAATCCTTTCAGGAGCAGGTGTTGCAAGGTCCATATTTGTCTCTTCACTGCTGTTGGTGGATTCAATACCAGGAGCCTCTGACATGTTGGTGTCAACTTCCGATGTTGCAGGGTCTGCCTCGTTGCTTTTGGTGGGGATTGACGAATGATTTGCTTGAGTTTCTCCCAATTCTTCACCATGGCTATTGTCGTTTAGTGTTGCGCATGCATTGTTCTCATCACCGTTGCTTTCTGATGATGCGTCTACCTTGCTCTCATCACAGTAATGAGGATTTGTGTTGTCAGAGGCTAGTGCAGTGCAAGTCTCACTATCTGCCATTTCAATCTCAGCACTTTCACTGTTCTCTGAGATTGAAACAATATCAGATGTGATACTTTCAGCACAAGATGCAAGGTCAGCCTTTTTCTTTGTCAGGTCCATGTCATCAAAGTTCTCAATGGCAGCATCAAACTCCACATGAACAGCTTCAGAATTGGCACTGGCGTTATCTGCAGTGTGTGACACAATGCAAACAGTGGGTCCCCACATTGAAAGCACAACTGGCAGAAAGATCAGGCCATGGGTAAGACCAAGTGCCACCATGGCAAAGAAAGCAGTGAAAACTGTCCTCAAAATGGCACTAGTGCTGAATGCCAATGGCAACACACCGAGGGATGTAGAGAGACCTCCCACCAGAATGCTTGCTCCCATGGTGTGGAGGGTTTCTTTTACCTTTGCTTCACGGCTTGCCCCATTAGATTCATAGAATTTCAGCACTATGTGCATAAGGAAGTCCACGAGTAGACCAATGGAGATAACCATGCAGACATACGTGACAACATTGATGTAGAGACCTGCTAGTTGCAGTGTACCTGAAGAGCAAAGGAGATTCGGCCTGTGAGGATATCATCGATCTACCTGGAGCCAGAATAGGGCCAAAGGTGCTTACCAAGAAGGTCCACATAGAGCATCAATATCATTGGAAGCACAAATGCTGTGGCTGACCAGTACTCAATTAGGAAGAAACCAATGACGGAGACTGCAACTATTCCTGAGATTGTGGTGAACACAAGCTCATTCACAGCAACTGAGTAGAGCTCCCAGATGAAGTATAAGTTGCTATAAGTGAAGAATTTCATGTTGTCCAAACTTGCTTTGTTCGCTGGTTGTGCGGAGGAAACAGCTCTTTGATCATTGAGGAGATCAATCTGCTGGCTAACAGAATCCAAATCCAAGTACTTCGGGTTCAGCCAGCATCTGGATGCGATAATTGTTCCGTTCTCATCCTGTACAATATCATCTCCGTATGCTTCTTTGATTACAGGATGGTTCAGGGCGAGTGAAACTTGATCAGAGAACGACATGTCGTTGATTAGCTGGAACTCTGGGGTGTTCTTTCGGGCTTCAAAATCAATAATCCAACAGAATGGCGAGGGCGTCCGATTCACAGCTGGCATTGCTATCAGGTCTTGCATGTACTCGATCATCTCCCATTGAACGTCTGGGTCAGACTGATTTACACCTGCGAAATAGACGTTGATACCCATAACCTGCTCGCTATAGGTGTCGAGGGCATCCAGGAAGTCGCTTACATAGGAGTCCTTCGGGACAAAGTCTTGATTCCGAAACCTTTGGGATAGAAGGCTCGTGCGATAAGCACAGAACCCAAAATAAGCGAGGAAGGTCCCAAGCACGAGAGCCTTCACGCGAGGTTGCATGAGTTTCCCCGAGTACCAATGCATGAAGCGTTCTGCTAAGCCAAGACCCTTTGCTTCGACGTCGCCGCATCCCTCCAAGGCTTGGCCGCATCCCTCCGAGGCTTGGCCGCATCCCTCCGAGGCTTGGTTCGGGCGGCTTCCGTCGTTGTCCTGGCAATCTTCAGGGTCAGCTTCGCTGTTCTCCTCAATCACTACAAAGCTAAAACAGATGTCTGTCCTGTTTGCCTTGACCCTTTTCTCATCAAGAACTAGACAACCAATGAAGAAAGTGATCTGGTAGATGAAGACAATGAACATGGTAGGGAATGCATAGATACAGACCCAGCGGATGGCAGGAATACTCGACATACAGCCCAGCATGAAGGCACTCATTGTCGTAATAGTGGTCAAACTGATACTGCCCCCAACAGCTCTCATAGTCTCTTCAATTCGAAGAACGGTATCCTTTTGGGGGTTCGTTCGGAAATATGCACCTGTTATAATAAACGTGTCATCTAGCCTGTGCGTGTAGTAGGTATTGTGGACACAAGAACATATTCAGGTGAGCTCGGAGTGCGATCAACGGAACCAAATCGAATAGAGACTGCATAGACATACCCAACACCTGCATGAGTGAATAGAAAAAGGGCATTCATGAGAGAGTGGACCAACCACACGCATATCGACGTAAGATTGATGGCAACACGTACCAAATACAACGAACGGCAGTATCTGCGACATTGAAGTGAAAGGAACCCCTGACCATCCGATTCCGATGACCAACTTGGTTGAGACGGATGTCAATCAGCATCCCAAGCTTAGAAAAAAAGAAGGACTTACCGCAAAGAAACATAAGTCCATAGCCGCACATCAAGCTGAGCCCCACCGCTGCAACCGAACACAGTCCCAAGAGACTTCGAGATTGTACACGGTCGCCCTTGTAGAAGACAAGACATGTGAACGTCGACATAATGATGACCACAAGTGGAACTAGAATGAGGTCCTTGTTTATGGCTCGCTCGAACTCAAGCTCGTAGGAGAGAAGAGTAAAATAAGAGAGGTGAAGAGGGATATCGGGGTCGTTTTCCCACTTTTGTTGCAGCGCCATCAGTCTATCCAGCACCTCGATTTCAAATTCATCCGCCCCGTCGGCATCTGGAATATCGATTCTTAGGTAGAAAGACTTGGCTGATTCGAGCCTGGCCCCGTTGTGATTTCCCCCTTCATCCACAAGAAGTCCTTCTCGCTTGGAATATCCAAAGAGAAACTCTGTGTACGCCGGTGTTCCTCCTGGGTACGTTGCTGCTGACATGGCCTGAATGGCTTCTTCATCGGAGTGGATCTCTTGCTGAAACCTTTCGTGCGAGTGTCCCCAAAAGCGTGTTGCACCAAAAGTTTACAGTCGGGCTCTCCGTTTGTATTCTTGTAGTTACTTGCTTGACAAATCTCATGATATCCTGGTGTGTCCCGCACAGTATCCAGGGCTTCAAAGAGCAAATCCACTTGCTCTCGACCCAAGACATTTTCCCCTTGATTGTGAATCACGAAGGTCATTGGTCGTGGGCTTTCTGGAAATCCCGACTCGTTGTCAATCCAATCCTTATGCGAAATGGGTTGGCTACCAAACGGGGCGTACACAACTTCGTAGTCCACTTGCAGGTTGAAGTTGGTTAAGAATCCGGTTGCAATCAACGTAAAGGCAGCCACGGTTGTGATCCCAATGGTCTGTTTGGGATTTCGTGCGGAAATGAGGGATACAGTGATCACGAACCAAGATATCGCTTGATGGACCACGTCGGTGATGGAGCTCCATTTCTTGCACACAACCTTCCGAGCTGATGCATGACTGCCTCTCGAGCTCAATACTAGCTTCTCAGTCTCCTGTGAAACGTTTGCCATTTTGGTGAAATCAAGAATAGATTGGGTGTACTAGTAATTTGTAGCTGAATGCTGCAGCCGAAACTAAAAAATAGTGTTGACAAGGAAGGAAAGGGGGTTGTTCGTGTCGACTGCAGTGTTCATGAATACAAGACCACGAAGATTGCGAAAAATGTGACCGAGTCCCAAAAGTCAGCCAATCTTGCAGCGACAGATCCAATCCGGAACATCAAAGATTTCTGAAGTCGCCTTTTGTGCTTGCCACAGGGACAGGCCACAGGCACCAGCACGGGAGAGAAGAGGTTAGGTTACCAATTGGTGGTCTTGATAGCCTGTATTAAAACGCGTGAGAGTTGCCTTGCTCAGTCTAATTGGCTTGATGGAAGCAAGTATGAATTCCATATTTTATGACTACCAGTATCGCACTATCGACAGCTAACCAGCCCATGATGACCAGCCATGTACCAGCCCTACTAGTTATAGTAGACTCCTGTACCTTGCTTTGTTGTTCTCTTGCGCATCAGCATTCGCTCCATTGGCCATACATAGATCCAAATTGGCAACCCCTTCTTCGCGTTGAGGATGAAGTGTTCGTGTTGGTGCATGCAACCTCCAGGAAAAGCTTAGCCAGATCCGCAAAGCATCCCACCAGCAATGGCAGTTGATCACTTTTCCACTTTCTGTTGGCCCTTCTAAATTTGACAACCATTGCAAAACTTCCCCTCGCTTTTGTGAAACTCACGCATACACTTAGCATAGCATAGCAAAGCAAAAGATGCCAGAATTAACTGCACCATGAGACGGCCTTTGCTTGGTCTCGCTATCAGATTCTACTAGTACCGGTAGCTTGACCGCTGGCTGGACCGTACCGGTAGCTTAGCAATGTTAGTTACCGTAATAGAGGGCCGTACCGGTACAACATCGTACCGTAAGGGTGCGGTGATATTACAAGGCCTTCCTGGACTGTACCGGTACATTGTACATGTACATACATGCATGCTTACATACATGTAGACTTTGCATACAACCCCGTGAACTGTCTTGCAGGATCTTCTCCCAACACGTACTGCTACTGGCTAGCTAGTAGCTAGTAGCGTAGACAAATTTATGCTCCAATCATTGGCCAAGGAGGCATCCACTGTGGGACGATGTAACATCGAGGGGAGTGTGACGGATGGCTTGCGTTCTTGGCGGGTTAAAATAGTCCAATTGGATCTATTTATGAAATTTTGCAATAACGTCCAGGTTTGTGGTGCATAAATCTCTAAAACGAGAAATTTGTCCTCTCCCACCAGCAAAAGTAAGTGACAACGAATGAGCTGTTTGCTGGTTTTACTGCGAAAGAAATGACAGAGCACTTCTTTTGGTGGGAGTATCATCATTCATCATCGTATGTACTTGCTGACCTTTTCATCCATCTTGTTCCTTACTCTGTTATCTCCCTGCTAGTCTAGCTACTAGCAAGAAAGAGAGATAACAACAGTTCTTGTCCATTTCTGACAAACCATTGATGGCAAGGATAATGATGATGGAGAGTTCTAATAATGATACCCCACCAGAGCTGGAGACATGTGCTACTACAGAATCCGTCGAGTTGGTTCCCACGCCTCCCGCTGATCATCCACAGCAGAGGATAATGTCACATCCGACCGAAGACTCGACAGTGACGTCCAAGCCCCGTTCGACCAAGGCCAGTGTGGATGGCGATGACTATTGCAGCAGCGAAGTCAGCAGCAGCAACAGTCACAATGGTAGCTGTGGCTACCATCAGGCTCCAACCACGTCCGATGGCATTCTCCAAATGATCGACCACACTCCTTCGACGCATACTCAACACCGCAAAACCGAAGGTGTCTTTCCCATTTGGACCCGCATGACGGATTCCATGCATCACTACATTACGCGCTTTGTCGTGACACTCGCTGTCACGGCAGCCTCCCGTCCTCGCACAGTCATTTCTGCCGTGATTTTGATGAGTTTGGCGTTGGTCGGGACCGGTCTCTTTACCAATTTTCACATTAATGTCGAAGAAACCGAAATTTACGCTCCGTTCAACAGCATTCCGCAGTATCACATGGAATGGCGCGATGATGTCGACAAGAGCGGCTTTTTGCCATCCACCCGTGTGACGACCATTGCCATTCACGCCAATGGGGCCAACATCTTGGGCAAAGAACCCATGGAACGCGTGTTTACGGCCTTGGATACCGTGCGGAATATTAGTGGCTACAAGGATATTTGTGCCGATGGCGATTACTACGACACGCTCCACGATGAATTCACTTGTCGGATCATTGGAGCCACGCGGTTTTGGTATCACGATACGCAACTCTTTTATGAACAAGCCAAGACGGAAGACGATGTCATTCAAACACTCTCCCAGACCGAATATCCTCCCGGTATTCCGGCCGATCACGAATACGTCTTGGGGACACTGCAACGACAAGAGAATAACGGACACGGCAATGGCACTATTACGTATGTACCCGCCTACTTTGTGTACATTCTCCTCAGTATCAAAGAAGACAAAACGGAACTCTTTGAACTGGATGTCGTGGAACAACTTTCCAAATTGCAATCGGCATGGGATAAGGAAGAAGGAAATATTCTCCAACTGGAGTTCTTTGCCGAACGATCCTTTTCCGATGAATTTACACGGGCCATTGAAGAAGACATGTTCTTGGTGCCCGTTGGATTCATCATGATGGCAGGTATGTTGCTTGCTTGCTTTTCTTGTGGAGCAACTTTTGGACACGAAAGTTTGACTCAATGTGTTGTTTTTTCTTTTGAACATAGGGTTTACCTGTGTGGTCTTTTTCCAATCGGATCGAGTGCAGTCTCGTAGTGGACTGGGTGTCGGATCGGTTACCACCATTGCCATGAGTCTCATGTCGTAAGTTAGTTATTTGCAACCATGGTGCTCTTGTGGAGAGAAGGAATAGAATGACTCGACTCACTCACTCACTCACTCGCAATTTGTGTAATCCATGCTTCCATTGTGTCTCCAGTGGCTTTGGAATTCTCTTCATTTGTGGTGCGTCCAAGGAAACGGCGTAGCAAGCTAGAATGGACGAAGCAACGAGTCGCTCATCATTTCTTTTCGTCCGTTGCCTCTAAAAAATGTTTTATCCCACAGGAGTTCCTTACACAAGCATGACCACGATTTTGCCCTTCATTGTGTTTGGTAAGGATGGCAAAGTACTACCTGGTACTGTAAACTTACTGGGAGTGAATGGTTCGTCTTACTTCTGCTCTCTCTCGTCTTTTTCTTCTACAGGGGTCGGGTAGGTGCATCATGGATTGGATCCCGTCTTGGGGTTGACTACTTTGATGAGTTGGCTGATTCTTTGTTTCTCTTGCATTTTCCCAGACTGGATGATACCTTTATCATCATGGGCTCCTATCTCCGAACAGACAACACTCTGGACACGGTGGAACGAGTCCGCCTAACTATGGAAGATGTCGGAACCAGTATTACCACGACAACCGTGACGACAATGACTGCCTTCATCCTTGGGCTCACGTCCAGTGTCCCCGCAATCTACTGGTTATGTCTGTGTGGTAGGTTCATACAACTCCATCTGCCAGAAACCATAAAACATTTGCTCACGTACTTTCCCTCATACTATTGTGAAATAGCATTCCCGACAATCTTCATCGATTTCATCTATCAGATCACCTTCTTCGTCGCCATTGTGGTACTCGATGAAGAACGAATCAAACAAAACAGAGAAGATATTTGCTGTTGTGCGAAACGACCCGACGTTCAACTAGACGGAACCAGCACTGATGAAATCAACAACCAAGCAGCCAGCGTAGGAGTGGTCGTGCAGGAACGTCACATTGCCGACAGAATAATGGCTTCCTACGCCAAATTCCTCATGCGACCAGTAGTCAAAGGAATTGTGATTGTGATGTTTGCCTACTTTTTCGCGCTTTGTGTCTACCGGACGACCATGTTGACCCAAGAATTCGACGTCACAGACCTCTTCCCGATAGGGTCGTACGCGACAGATGTGTTGGACGCAATTCAAACGTACCAAGAGAGAAGTTTGCAGGTGGAGATTTACTTTAGGGACGTCAACCAGAGTGATCCAGTCATTCAATCGCAAATGCTGGAGTTTGTGGATCAAATCGCGGAACTGCCTCCGTTTGGTGAGGGTCCTCCAGTCTGTTGGGTGCGCGACTTTCAGACCATGCGTGACTCCGAGTACTTTAGCGTTGTCGCGGACTTGACATTTGAGGAGCAAGTGGCCTTTGCTCTTGAAATCCCAGAAATCAAAGAAGCATACGGCATGGACATTGTCCATGAGAATGGAAACATTTCGGCATCGAGATGCATCATTGTGATGAGGAATTCATTCCTCGATGCCGTCGATGATCAGATTAGTGTGTTGAACGATCAACGTGCTGTAACGGACGCTTTCCCAATCAACCAGGGACGTCCGGTCGGATCAGAGGCGTTTTTCACCTTCAATCAGGTTAGTGTCTGAAAGATGTGCAACCTAGTTCAAGCGTTGCATTCTCACACCCGCCCGTTGTCACAACTTTATTTCCAGATCTATCTTATGTGGGAGTTCTACAATATTGCTGTCGCAGAGCTTATCACAACAACAGTCACCTCCATTGTCGCAGTGAGCATTGTTGCATTGGTTTTCATTCCACACTGGTCCGCACTCTTCTTCATTGTCCCCATGGTGGCGATTGTCTACATTGACTTACTTGGAACGATGCAAGTCGCTGGGCTGCACATCAATGCTGTGACCTATGTCTGCCTTGTTATTTCTATTGGTTTGATTGTTGATTTCCTCCTTCACATTAATCTGAGGTATTATGAGTCAACATTCAAAACCAGAGACGGCAAAGTCAAAGACACACTGGAGACAATGGGATCCTCCATCCTGTTGGGTGGACTCTCGACATTCCTTGGTGTGATTCCTCTCGCCTTCTCTTCCAGCACAATCCTGAGAACCGTGTTCACTTCTCTGGTTTCCATGGTTGTTCTTGGCGTTGCGCATGGTCTGGTGTTGTTGCCCGTGGTACTCTCGGTAATTGGTCCCTACGATGACGTCAGGGAAGACAGTTCGAGGCGCAGCTTCAAAAAGTCTGTATCAACGAGCTTTGGTGGCAGCATCAAGCAAGAGGCTGGCTATACTTTTGAAGTTGATAGCTCTGACGGCGGAAGTCCAGTCAAGGAGTTAAAGGAATCTTCCTCTGAGACAAGTTCTTCTCAGTTGGCCTGAGTTCGAGGAGGATTTTGACAAAGCTACCTTCTCACCATCAAGAAATTCAAAGCTAGACCGTCTTCGGCTAGAACAAAAGAGTCCAGGGTCAGCGCCTAAGACCCACAGAGCAGAAGCCGTTCATGTTTCATACCACTCAAATTGTACACGCATCACATTGGCAGTTAGCACGTGCTAGCTTTTAGGCTCGACTTTACGTAAAAGCAGTTCCTTCAATACAAACACACTAGGAACAACCCATTACGACTACAGTACTAATCTAGAGGCTTGGACCGATGGGTCTCTTGTGACAGTTGAAAGCTCTCTCATACCTATCCAGCCAAAGATTCGTGGCGCTCCTTCATTCAATTAGTTGAAAGTTTTGTGTTTTTGGTTCAGGATATTGGACTCATCCTGGTACTCTTCTATTTGCTGATTGCCAACTTAGAAAGCTGGGCATGCAGCTTCGCCAAGGCCTCAGATTGGGGAACCTCAATACTCCCAAATAAAATCTCCTTCGGAGTCAGCTTTTCTCCATAAAATTTCTTGTTGATTGCAGTTCGCGGAGCGATGGTGCTACCTCCAGCCTGAAGTCCAGTGTAAAGACCCACAGCTGTGGAATAGCCAGTAGCGATACCACTTCCCTTGTTCCCAATGTTGGAAGCAATCTCGTTTGATTCTCCAATCGGTCCTATTGCAAAAGATTGTTCGAGGCCCAACGAGATGGTGAAGTCGTTGGTCATGGCTGTCTGATCAAATTGGTCTTCTTTCAAGAAAATAATCATGTGTTTCTTCTCTGCACCAAAAGATAATCCAGCTCCAACACCCGTCAAACCAATCGCCAAAGGAGGACTCCAAGCACTATTAGTCTTGTCGTGTCGGAGCAGGATTCCTGTGCCAACTTCGGCTGAGAAGAAAAACCCTGCTTGCATGGATTCAAGAATGACAATTCCAAAGGCTTCCTGGAAGGCCTCTGGTGGTGTATCCCGTGCATTGGATTCTGCATCTTCTAGGAGCTTCAGAGAAGACTCAATCATTCCCTCCATGGTTGTGACTTTATTCATGGTGCCTTGGCTTGGTGTTGTCTGTTGGTACTGGTTGGGATTGGGTGTTCTACTACTAGCTAGCTGGCTAGTGAGCCGCTCGGGGATTGTGATGACCGCCTACGAAGATGTCGCTGTTCGCTTTGGGGGCGAAAGATCGCAAGGCAAAACTGTGAAGCTGCAAGGAGGTTTTGTGGCCTTAGGAAGTTTGGAGGGTCTCCACGTATCAAAAGCTCCCCTCTCGCTGTACTGTTCAGAGCAGTGCATTTACTAGATACTGTAGGGCGCTTCTTTACATGATGTACATGTAGCTCCAAGTCATTGGGTTCAGTTACCAGACTAAACTAAAATGATCTGCATATTCCAGGTATCCTTCAGCCCAAGCCATTATTTGCCTGATGCCAATTTTGAAAGCTGAGTGTGCAGTTTGGTCAAGGACTCACACTGGGGAACATCAATGATTCCAAATAAAAGGACAGCCAGCCGAAGGCTAGTGCCCTCAACTTGCATTTTTCTAAAGGCCATGGTTGCAAATAGCCTTAACCTTGAAAGGGCAACTGCACCCTATGTACCATGCATCGCCTTAACCTTGCAAGGGCAACTGCACTTATGTACTTTTCTGGCCGCTTCCGGTAGCCTTAACCTTGCAAGGGAAACTGCACCATATGTACGCGACACACACACACACACACACATCTCACACAACATCACACATCTCACACAACACTCAACGTACACACACCTACACACACACACACATCCAGCCCATCGAGGTATTGGATTTACGGTTTAGTTTAGCTTGGTTTCGGTCTATACCGTACCAGCTCCTATGTGTCTATTTTCGAAATCACCACAAACAGGGTACCCTTGCTTTTCTCACAGCCTACCCGGCTTGTATCTTTTGCCATCCCCAGCTTGCTCCACTGATGAAGCAAACAGCGAAATTCCTAAGCTCAGAATTTGAAATCAGCAAGCAACGTATACCCCATGGATAAACATCAAATGGTAGATTCGTCGTAGATTAACTCTTAGTAGTGTCTACACACATCTCACACAACATCACACATCTCACACAACACTCAACGTACACACACCTACACACACACACACACACATCTCACACAACATCACACATCTCACACAGCACTCAACGTACACACACCTACACACACACAAGATAAACTTCGAAAGGCCCTCAGCTTGCTAGCTGGTAGTTGAGGGCAATTTCCTTTGGGGTGAGCTTTTCTCCATAAAATTTCTTGTTGATAGCGGTTCGAGGAGCCAATGTGCTACCACCTGCCCGAACACCAGTATAGAGACCCATTGTTGTTGCATAGCCACTTGCGACACCACTTCCCTTGTTGCCAATGTTGGAATCAATTTGATTTGATTCTCCAACAGGTCCAATCGCAAATGATTGCTCCAGGCCAAATGAAATGGAAAAGTCGTTGGTCATGGCTGTTTCGTCGAATTGGTCCTCTTTCAAGAATACAATTATGTGTTTCTTCTCTGCCCCAATGGAAAAACCAGCTCCTACTCCTGTCAAACCAATTGCCAGAGGAGGACTCCAAGTATTATTACTCGTGTCGTGTCGCAGCAAGATTCCTGTACCAACTTCAGCGGAGAAGAAGAACCCTGCTTGCACAGATTCCAGCATGATGATTCCAAAGGCTTGCTGAAATGCCTCTGGTGGTGTATTCCGGGCATTGCTTTCTGCTTGTTCAAGGAGCTTCAGAGAAGACTCAACCATCCCCTCCATGGTTGTGACCTTGTCCATTTTTCCTTGGTTGGTGTTCTTCTGTGTGATTGGAAAGGCAGTGAGGCAGTGGTGGTGATGCTTTGCGGCGAAGAGGATTGGTGGGATGTGGATGGGATCTTTGGCAGCTCGAAGTCAGAAGCTGGCAAGGCTGCAAAATTTTATTGATCACCGCTTTCCAGATGCCTCTAAATTTAAAAGTGGTAACACGGTATCAATGAGGGTACCACTACTAGCTAGCTAGTACACTCATCCTTTTGCCATATTGAAATGAAAGCACTGCTGGCTATAGTCAACTTGAGAACAGTATGGGATCAAGTGGTATTCAATGCACCACCAAC